TGTTTTTTAATTAATCCTAGCCATCAGGCCTGACTTCATTATTACACCCTGTCCTTGGAAAGACACAGTTTAAGAAAAGGTTANCAGGCCTGACTTCATTATTACACCCTGTCCTTGGAAAGACACAGTTTAAGCAGAATTAAAGAAAAGGTTAAGCCTGGCCGGGTGTGGCTCAGCGGTTGAGCTTCGACCTAGGATCCAGGCGATCGGGGTTCTAATTCCCTATCAGGGCATGTGCCCAGGTTGTGTGTTTGATCCCCAGTCGGGGGCATGCGGGAGGCAGCTGGTCAATGACTCTCTCATCATTGATCTTTCTANGGGTTCTAATTCCCTATCAGGGCATGTGCCCAGGTTGTGTGTTTGATCCCTAGTCGGGGGCATGCGGGAGGCAGCCGGTCAATGACTCTCTCATCATTGATCTTTCTATCTCTCTCCCTTTACTTTCCTCTCTCTGAAATCAATAAAAATATATTTTAAAAAAGAAAAAGAAAATGTCAATCAGTTGATTAGAAGGAGAAACAACCCTCTATGAAGATTACCTCATCCATTTATTCAGCATCCAGTATTTTCTTGACTATGGTAACAACTGTGCATTTTATGTGCATTATTTATAACATTCTTGACATTTACTGAGCAGCTTAATGTCAGATTCTTTTACAGGACCTGGTTTTTACCACTCTGTTCTAGAGTGAATTCATCTGCAGATGGAAATGACTTTTGAATTTCTTGTTGGAGTACATTCTATGCTAAGTGTTGCCTGAGCCTGCACTGGGTTCCCATATTGAAATAAGAAGTCTATTTCCTGGCAATTTTTTGGAGTAAGAAAAACACCCAGGGGGATTTGGCCTGAAGCAGGAAGATGTCCTGGGCGACCTCTTATCTCAGTTCCAGCCCTTCAATTATCCACCTTCCTTTCTGTCCCTCCTTCCCCCACCACTGTCACTTGTGTTTCTTCCTGATCCTCCTTCTTTCTCCTTCCTTCATGAAGGACTTTCTTAGTAATAGATTTGTCTGGACTCCTCTGCCACTCTCACTGTCATTTTTGTCAAAAATAAATATTTCTGTCAATGCCACAATCACCATCAGAGCAACAACAACAAAAAAGGTGAGAGGAGATTTCACCTAAAAAAACTACACCTTTTTAGCATCTAGAGGTTCAAACATATATTAAATTCCAAATCATCTTAGTGAGGCAGAAAAGGCTGTGATGAATGTTTTGTGGTAAAATATACATAAAATAAAACTTCCCATTTTAACCATTTTTAAGTGTACGGCTCCGTGGTGTTAAGCACGTTCATGTTGCGGTGTAGCCATCACCGCCACCCATCCCCAGAACTTTTCCATCTTTGCAAACTGAAACTCTGTCCCCATTAAACACTAATTCTCCGTTCCTCCTTCCCCCAGCCTTGGCACCCATCATTCTATTTTCTGCTTCTATGAAGTAGACTCCTTTGGGTACCTCATATAGGTGGAACATACAATGTTTGTCTTGTAACTCTCTTGTTTCACCTAACATAAGATCTTTAAGGCTGGCTTTGATGAATTCTTTGTATTAGCATTTATTGATAACACACATATCCTAGAGCTGTGCTAAAGGCTTAACATGTATTGTTTCATTTAACAAATTGTAAAGTAGGGCCTTGTTCTGTAGCCATTTAACAGACAGTGAAAACAAGGTTTAAGAAGTTTAGACACATGGAGGTACTAAGCGCAGGCCTGGCCTGGCACCCACCTCCCTGTTTCCTCACAGCCACACCTGCCTCTGGGCTCCTTCCTGAAGCCCTTCATCTTGCTTTGGCTCAGTCCTCAGCCAATGAAAGTGGTCTGGTAACAGCAAGATTATAAGATTTCCAACTTCCCAACTTGCCTCAAATCATGACTGTATATGTAAGAAAGCAAGTTGTCTTTCTGGCCTCTTACTGAGAAAACACTCCTGCATAAGCTCCATTCACAAAAAGTTAACAGCTATAGTTGAAGGGAGCAGACACATGAAATATTTCAACTAAGAAATGAAATAAAAATTTAACTCTACCTATTTAAGAACTTTTCTCTAGCCCTGGCCAGATAGCTTATTGTCCCAATTCACCAAGGTTTCTGGTTCAATCCCTGGTCAGGGCACATGCGGGAATCAACCAATGAATTCACAAATGTTTGGAACAGCAAATCAGTCTCTCTCTCTCTCTCTCTCTCTCTCTCTCTCTCTCTCTCTTTCTCTCTCTCTTTCTCTCCCCCTCCCCAAAGAATCAATAAACAAAATATTAAAAAAAGAATTTTCTCCATGTATTGCTAAAAGTCTCTTAAAGGAAAATTATAATAAAGTCAACTATAATATATTCAACAATCAGAACATAAGAACCATATCTTGTATGGTTAAACACAAATTAGGAAGCTACACTTATATACAACTTTAAAAAACTAGCTTTTGATATATAATTTATATACCATACAAGTAACCTATTTCAAGTGTGGAATTCATTAACTTAGCTTTTTGCTTGGACAAAAATTGCCTTACATCTGACCACCTTACATTACTTTGATTAATTTGGTTGGTGAGAGTCAAACAGGAAAAGTTATGCCCCAGAGAGCTCTGTGGCATGGGCTGCTATATTAGGTCCATAATGGCAATTTTTGTCAATGTTGTTCCTATATCCATGACTATTTAATTCCTTAACCTTAGTGTCTTAAAGGTTCATGTGTTGTAGGTTATTTGGAGTTCCATTATTATATGATAGACAGAACAAAATAAAAGGAGGTTGGGGGGCTGGGTAAAAAATGTGAAAGGATTAAGCAAAAAACAAAAACAAAAACAAAAAACCCTCCAGACACCCAAAAGTATGGTGATTGCAAGAGGGATAGGAGGGTGGGGGAGGTAGAAAAAGTAAAGAGGGGGAAATGGTGATGGAAGGAGGCTTGACGTGGGGTGGTGAACACACAATACAGTATACAGATGCTGTACTATAGAATTGTACACCTGAAACCTATATAATTTTATCAACCAATGTCACCCCAATAAATTCAATAAAAAATTTTTAAATAAAAGGAGGTTAGCTTTCCAGCCTGTGCCAGAAATGCTGTGAGATCAGTAGGCAGCCCTTCCCACCAGGTGTATCAGCATTTCCTTGAGCCCAAGCAGGCTCCACTTGCAAATGCAGATGTCTATCTCCGGCTGCTCACAGAGGAACCGACCAGCCCCGGGCTCCAAGCCCCAGGCAGGAGTTTCTGTGAGGGCGGGAGACCCTCAGTTGGGGAGATAAGAGAAGGAAAAGGTAAGGAGGTCAGGCAAAAAGGGTGGGGGACAGGGGCAGTGGAGCCAGGTCCCCTTTCTTCCTCTGCTTCTGCTCCATCTTCTTTCCCACTCACCCAGAGCCTAGGAGTGAGCTGGGGAGCCTGGGCAGACGGTAGGGTGGGCCCAGACAGACCCACCTTCCCTCTCCCCACGGCGCACTCTGGCCTTGCGGAGGCTGCACGGGTCGGCCCTGGAATGAACCGAGGCTCAGGGCGGTGGGGGGGGGCAAAATGGATACTGGGCTCTTAACTGGGTCTGTGGCAGAACCTCAGGGGCAAGGAAAAGACTACGTGACTCTGGAGGCAGAAGGGGAAAAAGAGAAAATTCTGTGGTTGGTCCAAAGGAGAGACTAATAGGAAATGCTGTGGCCAACACCTAGGTGGTGCGAAGTAAAGGAGACATTTTAAGCACTTTGGTATACTAATTTACGTAACCTTCGCAAAAATCCCATGAGGTAAATACTATTATGATCTTCATTTTACAGACAAAGAGGCTTGCCACGCGTCATATGGTGGGGACAGAGCAGATCAGGACTCTCCTGGGTCCACGCTCCCCGCCCTGGCTGCAGGCTGGCCCCAGCGTGCACTCCGCAGGATCCTGCGTGTTTTCACACACGGGTAGGTATGTGACATGAAGTGGTAATTAATCGTCTATAACTTCCTTCGTATTGAAGACAGGATCGGTAATGGTGGTGCTTCTCGCACCAGGTTTTCCCCTTTGCAAAGCAAATTTCATCAGTTTCTTTTCAAGGGATGAGGTCTCTGTCCATGCTTCAGTCACGACCTTGGCCCAGGTAGTCAGGGCGAGACCTGGGCTGGGACACATCTACAGAGTTAGGACAAAATCTGTGGCTGTTGACAGATTTCATGGGCACCACTGTCACCTGCCGCTCACAGACCACAGAGACAAATGTGACTGCTTTATTGTTAACGCATTTGCTCTCTCTTTGAATTTGATTCAGATGGAAGCAAATGTGTAGCTAGTACGACTTCTGGAAATATGTTTGTGTTTTTGGTTCTAAAGGAAAAATTTTTATTTTTAAAATCTTTATTTTTAAAATCTGACCCCTCCTTTTCTTTGACTTTATCTTCCACAGTATTTTTGTTTTGAGTATCTGTGAAAGACATGAGGGTGAAAATGAATCCGTGTGGTTATTTGGTCAACTAATTCACCCCACGGGATTTATTGCAGCCCACCACAGGCACGGTTCTAGGTCCCCTGTTTAATGAACATTTACTATGTACCTACCTATTATGTTAAGCATTTGAGATAGAGAGTAAAATACACTACCTGTCCTTCACAGCAGCAACAATAATTGGGAAATCAAATTCCGAGTGGGTTGACCTGTGACCTGTCTTTGAGGTTCTTGGGGAAAATTCCTTGGGATAATGTTGACATTAAAATGTTAATGACACCAAACTGCATGTGGCTTAAATGCTGCGAGTGAAATACGGCCCCTACTGGCTTTGACAGTGGGAACAGTTTGATTGAAAATGTTTACCACAAAGATCTTCACTCCCTGGATTAGAACCTTTAGCCTATGTTTGCTCATTACACAAGTCCTCTGGATCTGCTTCTCCCCAGGCATTGAAAACATGCCAACTTGGTGTCGCATAAAAAACAAGCCTGTGTGTTCAGCAAATATAACTCAGTGAGCAGAGTCACTGTCACCTACTCTGCGAGAGGGGAGCCGATATCCTACCACCTGCAAACGATGGACATGGAGAAGGTCAACTCCATGGACTTTGGAGAATTCGTGGATGTGTTTGGGAATGTCATTGAGAGATGTCCTCTGATTGCGGCTGCTGTTTGGTCCCAGCGCCCATTCTCTGACTTGGAAGATTTAGAGAAGCACTTTTCTGCCTTTATCGATGCTCTGCCACAGTCAGGTAAGGCCTCATGGACTGGGAGAGTCTCCACAAAGGGGTTTCAGATAGTGTTATCAAAACATGTTTTGATCATTTAATTGGTTACAACTGGTATATTTATTTAGCTAATTTTATTGTAAGGGTCACAAAGTTTCCTCAAAATTAGTAAGTGGGAGTCAAGCCCTTGCAAGGTATTAAGCCAAAAGTAAGTTGAAAGAATGTGTGTTGGCTCCGGTAACATGGCTGTTAAATATTAAAGCTACGAGGTCCTGGGGAAGGAGGTCGGGGCCTCCGGGAGGCTCAGAGGCCAGAGGTCAGGCTGGGGGCCTGGCTGGGGGCTCCCTTCTCTCAGCTGAGTGTGTTCGCTTTGGGAATGGCCTGTATGCAGGAGAGAAGATGGGTCGATATCAGAATATCTCAGGAGCCCAGGGGAAAGAGCAAATGGCTGACATTTTTATCAGCAAGGGCCAGTTTGGACTGGACTGCTGCGGAAAGTAAACTCATTCAGATCGGCTTCCCCAGAGGGGAGTGAAGGAGGAAAGACACAAATTTGAAAGAATTCCTCTGGAGAAAGGGAAAGAAATCATTGATTTCCTCTGGGTAGAGAGAAAAGGAGGCACTTCTGGGCGTGGGGTGGAGGTTTAGGCAAACCCCAGGTGACAGCTTCACAGGGATTTAGAGGCCCCGGGTGCCATCGTGATACTCCTCAGAGACGCCATGAACCACACCTGCTCTGGGGCCTGAGGAGCGTGGGTACCGCCAGCTCTGCTGACCTAAGTGGCCCACTAGGCACTCGCATCCCATACCCAGCGCCAGGCCAGCCAGCCAGGCTTCCTACCCTACCCATATAAAGTTTGAGAATAGGTTGAGATCCTTTAGGTTCCAAGACTTCTAATCATTTGCTTTACCTGATAAAACTGCATGGGTTCGAATGCATAAGAAGGGGATGGGAGTAGGGGGGCAAGTGCTGCCTTCACAGGGGGCCTTCCACAGAGATCCGACGGGAGGGAGCACTCCCGCTCCCCTCTCCTCCACAGTGAGGCCAGCACACAGAGCCTCGCTTGTCTGCAGGGCTTTGGCATCTGGGATGGTCTCCCATTGTCAGATGAACGGCTCTTGAGTAAGAAACTCATCTGAATTCAGTTTAGGCACATCCAGGAAGGTGGAGGATGGTGTTGTAAAATCAAACTGATGGTGTTATAAAATGAAAATGGGGCCTGTAGACCCATTTCTAGGGCATCTCCAAAGCTGAGCTCCCCTCCATCACCGGGCTCAGCCTTGAGGTTGATGGACGCTGGAGCCCTCTGCCTGATCACCCACAGGGACAGCCAGCCCTGAGCCTGCAGAGCAAGCTGGGAAAAGCACGAGGCCTTGGGAGCCCATGTTCAAAACGTCTGGCAGGAAAATGGCCACGGCCAAATAAATGCAAGCCTTCTAAGCCAGAGGGAGGTGGTTTTTAAAGAGTGTGAATGCCTTGGGAATCACCTTTTTTCCTATTAGGAAAAGGAAAGAGAAAGGAAGAAAATCCCATGACCTGTTTCAATATCCAAAGGGGTGGCAGGGCTGGAAGGAATGCATTGAGGGAGAAAGCTATGATAGCACAAATAATTTAAATCTAGTCTTCACTGGTTTATACAGTTATTTATCTGTATGGAGTTGGCTCTGTACCAGGAGCTTAGATAATGAAATAAAAATTTCCCTATTCCTATCTTCTTTCCTACCAGCAGTCACCCCAACCAGTTTGGCCAGAAGCTCTAGTTAAGGTTAGTTAAAGTCTAGTTAAGGCATCTCTCTGCTGGTAGATCTCACTTCTCAGCCCTACGCTAGTGCCCACGGGTCTCAGACAGGCAGTTGGGAGCAGAGCCTCAATCCCCCCCCCCATAGCTAATCACTTTAATGACACCAGATGGGCGATATTAGCAAAGTAATAATAATAACAATAGTTAAAAGGTATTCAACCCTTACTATTAGTGTGTTTCGGGCACTTTTCCAAACACTTAGCATTTGCTAACTCATGTGAACCTCATGCTAATCCTATAAAACAAGTATTATTATTATTATTGTCCCCGTTTTAAAGAGGAGAAAACTGAAGTGCGACGAGATTAAGTGGCTTGATCAAGGACGCATAGCTAGAAAGAGGCAGAACTGGAACTCAACCCGATAGTCAACCCAGCAGCCTTTGAAGGGTTTCCCAGGGAATCAGAAGCCAAGTCTAGGTCCTGGGAGTTTTATGCCTTTGGTTACTAATGTATTAATTAACATAAACGTTTGGTGTTCCAGATCCCAGTTTGGTTGTTTAAATTATCAAATAAAGTGAGACTGACTGCGTAGCCCAGCTCTGTTCCTTGAGTAGTAAGGAACAAACTGAGTGAGTCTTTATATCCTAAAGCCAGAAGGGACTTTAATAATTCTTCTCCTTGCCCAAGCATATACTTTGTATTGATTTTAGAGATAGAATGGGAGAAAGAGATGTGCAGGCTATGGTGATCTCCCTATTCAAACATGTGTTTTAAATAATCTAAGAAAACACTCTACCACTAGCAGGAAGCTGAAAATCCAGTTTCTAGAGTAAACCAAGGTTGACAATCCATTTAGGTTATGCTATAATGATTATTAGCCAGTAGGTGGCAGTCCAGGATTAATATTTGGCTGTAGCAATAATTGCAAAGTATCATTTCAAGCCAACCTCCTGATTTCCAGGAAAGAGGAATGACAATAGTAAAGGGAGGAAGATTGAAACACGCGCGCGCGCGCGCGCACACACACACACAGTCAATAATGAACCAGTTCAGCATTGATTTGTGTTAAAAATCAAAGAACACTAAAACTGTAATAGAGTTAATCGTGCATCTTTTTGTGGCATTTCAGAATCGCAATAACGGCATAATTCATTATTTAATATTTACTTCAAAACATTAAGTTAATAGAGTTAGATACTAATAAATCCCTCAAATGCAGGCTATAAGGTAGGTGAGGCTATGAGAATGTGTTGTGAAAGAATATATCAAACACTTCCCCAAGAGTGATGTGTTGGTCAATAAACACTTATCAAGTGGCCCTGGCTGGGTAGCTCAGCTGGTTAGAGCGTCGTCTCCATACGCCAAGGTTGCAGGTTTGATGCCCAGTCAGGGCACATATGAGAATCACCCAATGGATGCATAAATAAGAGAACCAACAAATCCATGTTTCTGTCTCCCTCTCTCCCTCTTTCCCTCTTTCCCTCTCTTCCTAAAATCAATAAATAATAATTCAAAAAACCTTACTGAGTGCCCACCATGACCCAGGAATTGTCCCAGGCACTGGGGATGGAACAGTGAGCAAGACAATCCCTGCCTTCAGAGAGTTTATGTCCTGGTGAAGCGAAACAGAATTAACATAAATAAATAAGATAATTTTAGATCACAGAAACGATTAGAAAATATGAACTATTGTGGAAAATACGTAATTAGAGAGGTGTGTCTTAGGAAGTGACCTCTGAGTATAAAACCAAAAGATGAGAAGGACACAAAGATCTGCAAGACCACTCTACGAAAAGGAATCACAGACTTTTGGCGCTTGAAGGGCCCAGAAAGACCAAGGTGGTTGGAGAAAGTGAGGAGTGGGGGGATATGAGGAAAGAGAGGCCAGGGAGAGGGATTGCTGTGGCAGTAAAAGTGAGAGGTGATGGTTCTCTCCATGAGGATTGAAGGAGGGGTGATAGAGATATGGCTGGATTCTCAAAATATATATTAGAGCTAGAGCCAACAAGATTCTTGGATTTGTTGGGGGAAGGTGGGTTAAAAACTAAGAGAAATTAAAGATAATTCCTAAATTTTAATCTGAGGAACTGGGAGGGTGGTGGTAGTGTTTTCTACAATGAGGAAGGCTAAAGAATTGAGAGGACAGGGTGGAGAGTGGGAGTTTGTTAAGTTTGAGATGCCTGATAATCACCTGGATGAAAATAGTGTTCAGGTGGACCATAACGAAGCTACTCAGCAGAAAGCTGAGGGCTAGACTAGATCTGGGTGGCATCAGAGACTTGATGGCATTTCAAGCCTTGGGACTAGATAAGAACACTTAGCACGTCATTGTAAATACAGAAGGGAGGAAATGTGAGAGAACCAGTGCTGAAGGTAGGCAAGTGATGGTAATCTCTCAAGAAGGAGAGAGGGCCAACCCTGTGACATGCTCCCAAAGAGGTTTTGAGAGAAGAAGACAGCATTGGTTATGGGCTTGGGCAAGATGTCCATCACCTGTGCCCTTGATAAATGCAGAATGGTTGGTGGGCGGTAGAGGAACCTGCAATGGGAGGTGATGAAGTGGAGATACTACATAGATAGCTCCTTTGAGTTGTAAGAAGGAGCAGAGACATAGGGAGAATCTAGAGGACAACAGGGACTCAAGGGAGGCATTTAATTTTGTTTATGGGACAAGTGATTCTAAGGCATGTTTGTGTGTTGTGTTATGATAAGGCAGTGAGTGCAAGGAAGATAAACTGATGTTTGAAAGGGCAGTCTTTGGGATGGAAAGAGGCTGGCTTCAAGAACACCACTGGAGAGGTTGATCTTCAACAGAGAAAATAGATGATCCATTGTACCAGGAGGGGGCACACACTGGCTGGCACAAATGTAGGGACACAGGTGGATTGAAACGGGGTTCTAAGCCAATTGCCTGCTCCTCAGTGACCACTATTGCCTGCCCTGTCTTCTATTGGAACAAATAGTGCCAGATCTTTGTTCCAACAGGAATTCTTCTTGATGCAAAGGTTTCCTGACTTGTGGCAGCAGCAAACAATACATATCCACACCTACATCTCTACACCTGACACGCCAGTGGCAAAGACAGTGAGTCTAAGATTTTAGGAAAGACTAAAGAACAGGCAGCATTGAAATGGTCCTGAGAACCATGGGACATTCAAGTGTCCTGGTTAGCACCTTGGTATCCCAGGTGGGAAGACCTGCAGGACTGAGGCAGGCAGGTGGGAAGTACCAGCCCCTCTGGGGTTTTAAGGCCAGGGAGTGCTTACAGGGTGCAGCCTTGAAAGGGAACTGAAGCTTTGCTGCAAACCAGGGGACTGCATCTTGGGCAGCAGTCAAGGGCTCAGAGGTTTGGAGCAATAAAGACAGACGACAAGACTGGACATCAGGTTCTATTTCTTGCAGCTGAAGGGTGTGTGTGTGTGTGTGTGTGTGTGTGTGTGTGTGTGTGTGTGTGAGTTCCAGTTTATTTTTTAGTCTTTCTTCTTCTTCTCTATGCTCTGTCCCTTTTCTTGGCCTCCTTTCTCTCCTCCTGCAAACAGTGGAAAGAAAACCCATGCTCAGTCCTAGGCAAACATTAACCCCAGGCGATGTTTTCAAGAGACAGACCAACCCAGGGGAATGAGAAGAGAAGTGCAAGGGCAAGAAGGAAAGAGGCTTGTGGAGTGTGCATGGGACAGCCAGGGGAGTCCCCTAGGGGGCGGTAAGGAGGCAGGCCCTGCCCCCACACCGGGGCCTATAAGGGGAAGGGAAGCATAGACTTGAGGTCTGTGAGAGGACTGGGGGTCAGCTCCCTCCACTGGAGGCTGCTTTGATAATCTGAATATGCAGGGATGGGGCGCGGGGCCAGTCCTTCCAGGTGGGTGCCTACAGTCGCCCAGCCTCAGTTCTCTCCACCTCAGCCAAATCCTCTGAGGGTCCCAGGGCTAGATGGGTGCACAGCGGATCTGGATCCAACTAGGGGCTGGGGGGTCACCAGGTGTGGAATATAACATGTACATTTTTGCACCACCTGGGCGGGCTGGGTGCAGGAAGCGGGAAAGAACCATCTCCTGTTTGCAAGACCCAAGGGACAGAGCCCATGAGAGGGGTTCTAAAACCATGGTGGTACAGAGATGGGATTATTGGTGACATGGGTTTCATTTTAAATTCCCCTTAACCTCTTAGAGGCAGCTAGTGCCCCAAAGATGTCCATGATTTGCAGTCCAGGTGCGGTCAGCTACTGGCTAAGTGACCTTGGGGAGGTCACCTAGCCCTTTCTGAGCCTCCACCGAATCCTCTCTTAAATGCAGGTGTTCCCCCACAGTTTTCCCCACTCCTCAGGACTTTGGTCCATGAGTTAGATGGTGAATCAGGATCATCCTTTAATTGGGCAGAAATGATAATGTTTGAATTTTAAAAGGGTTTTTAAATTTTTATTTGTTGATTGATTTTAGAGAGAGGAAGGGGGAAGGGAGAGATATTCGCTGTTCCAGTTATGCATTCACTGGTTGGTTCTTGTATGTGCCCTGACTGGGCCTCGGAGTATGGGGACAATGCTCTAACCAACTGAGCTACTCCGCCAGCGGTGAGGGAGGGTTTTATGTGATCATCGCCTTTTCCAAAAGAGCCCCCTGCCTATTCCCAGTGCCAGAGTCAGATCTTCCAGCCGCACCTCAGTCACTTTACTCTGATTTAGTGAATAATGGCTGTTGAACATTTGCTGGCATTAGGTGCCGTGTTTTAGGTAGATGAATTGTCGCTAATCCTCACAACTAATCAGCAAATTTGGTGTCATTACCCTCAGTGTACAGTAGATTATAGCTCCCTCTCATCATATCTGAAACCTCGCCCAGCCCTGAGGATTCCAATTCTAGACAGCTAGGTGGAAAGACGGGCCCGGGCTCAAGAAAACCCTTGGATTAGGATTTAAACTCCCAGGAATCACACCAGGGGGTCCCATTTTAGGCCTAGGGGATTATGAGAAGCTATCTTCCAAGAAAACGTTATATTCTGTGGTCTGTTTGGGATCTACTGCTGGAGAAGGGGAGTGAGCCTCAGGCGGGGTGGTTGCTATTTTCCTAAAAGAAGAAAAGCCGCTTTCATTCAAAGGGCTGTGGGATTCCGGTTGGACAAAAATATTTTTTCAGTTAATCATCTGCAGGGCTCTTTGGATGCCTGATTCCATAAAGGCCACAAAATCCTGGGCATTTATTTGCCACATCCCATCGAGGTTACCCCCGGGGACCCTCCCGCTCCTTTTCCTTCGGAACAGAACGAGCCCCATTCCTAGGCCTCTGCAGGAAGTCCTCGGGCCCTCGCAGACATCAAAGCCCCCTGAGAGCAAAGGACTTAGAAAAGATACGAAACGCTCGGGCTTCTTATCGCGTCCTGCTCCCTCCCAAGCAAGTCGTAAATTCCGAGTCTCAGCGGCCTCACCCCCTCCGCTCTTCTTGCCCCGAGGTCTCAAAGGACAAATTTGTCACTTCCCGCCCCGCCCCTGGGTCCTGGCCAGGCCGAAAGAAGCGGGGGCCCAGGGGCGCAAGTTTCGGGACCTGTTTGAGGGGCGAGTGCAATGGGCGCTCCAGCTCCTCCAGGATACTCCTTTTCGCCCCCCATCATCTCCTGGGAACCTCGATTCCCTCCCGGAAGCCTCTTCGGGGCGGGGCAGGCGGCGGTCCCGAGAGCGCGGTCGGCCTTTCCGTAACGCTCGCGCCGCGTGTCTGTGCTTCTCCGCAGGCCAGGAGGGCATCCTGCGCTGCCACCCGGACCTGGCGGGCCGCGAGCTGCAGCGGGGCAC